GGTCGTAACTCAGCCTTTTTTCAAAAGGCCAGGGAAAGCCCTGGAGCAAGAGAGACACCAATAGGTTTGTGGGTTGGAGGGATGTAACACTATGTATAGCTCTGAAAACAGAGAGGAGGGTTTCAGGGGTAGAGGAGACTGGGAAGACTTTGACCCTGTGGATCAAGGGCTGTGGAGGACGGAGGGTTTGCATACCAGGCGGAGCACATAAGAGGAGCTGCTAGGGTCCTGCACCTCTCTTTACAGCCAAACGTGACATTTCAGTGGATTCTTTTTCTTCTAAATCAAGTTTCTGCCTTTACAAAGCAGGACAGAAATAACACAAACGTACCAGAGGAAGGCTCTGAATGGTTCTTAAACTTAACTCTTAGGACTTGAGTTCTTACCATACCAACAACAGATCTCGTGAGTAAAGCTCTTCTCAACTAGCACCACTTATCTTTTTCCCGGTTTGAAAAACTCAATTTAAACCCAGTTGAATGCTCAGATATTCAAGGAAATTCAAATTCAAGGAATGTCGAATATCCTCAAAGAAGCATTTTATAGAGCATGCATAAGGAATAGGAGAGCCAGTTTGTAAACAGTGAGTACAGCTTTACAAATGGCTCTCTGTTTTATTAGCTTAACCTATGAGGACATTTTTTTTGTATCCTAGAATGGTTGAACATATTTCCATATTTGTCACAGACTTTTGGTTCTCAAAGGATGAATACCCTCAAACTTTTAATTAAGAATAAATATCTACCAGATACTGGAAAAATACTTAAGTTATGTAGCTGCATGCTACAGTTAGTGCTAATACTTACACGCAAACAGTCGTGGTATACTGACTATTTGTCCTGGTTTGTCCAGAATCGTCCCCGACTGACACCAACCATCGGTGTTAAGAGGCTTCCTTTGATTTTTTTTTTTTACCCTTTTAATGGAGAGACAGGACAGTGGATACAGGTTGGAAATCAGGGAGAGAGAAAGCAGGGAATGACATCCGGGAAAGGAGCCACAGGAGGGACTCGAATGCAGGCCGCCCGGATGACCAGGGCCTCCATACATGGACCACTGCGCCACCAGAGTCCTAGTTAAAGAGGCTTCCTGGGGTTTTGGAGATAGCCTCAAGCAGACACTCAAAGAACTGCGATTTTTTTGGTACTGTCATAGGTGTTTGAGAGAGTCAGCTTTTCTAATATGGCAACCGCCATGGATGAGCTTCCAAAACAACCCTTTAGAAACCAATGGATGATGTCACTCAGACTTCGTCCATGTTTATGCCGTCTATGGTGTAAACCTACTTTGTAATAAATCTCTATCTGATAGTGATTGTTCTCTCAGATTAACGCAAATAGAAAAACGTATTACTAACTTTACGATGGCTGTTTACAAACCTTTGAATGACATTGTCACATCAACTTGTGTTTTTTTCTTACCAGACTCTCCACAGACTGGAGCAGAGTGGTGACAGAGCCCAGTGTTTACTAAAGTATTATGGGCAGGAAGGACAACGAGTGCACTTCTTGGGGAGGTACTTCTACTTGTGATATTGAAATGTCAATGTCTCATGAGCGGGTTGCTATGGCGAAATGGAACCTGTTCACCCTGCAGAGGTTCCTCCCTGCTTACAACTCACTCACTATACATTATCAAGCTTATTACATGGAAATCAATAACTTCAAACAAAATATTGATTTGGAAATGATGTTGTAAGAGCTGCGTCTATGGCAACATTTTACTCTGTAGCTTTCATAAAGCGGGCTAAACAGGCTTTCATTACTCAAATTAAACTGACCATTTCAGAGACAAGTAAATCCATGAGAATCAGCCCAGTGTGAGTGTACCCTTAGGCCCTGTTCACACTTGACTTCTTTTTTCAACTGCCAGCGCCTTTTTTTACATACAAGCCTATGGAAAATGGAAAATGGATGACGCCTTTTTAAAAAGCGCTGCGCCCGACGCCTTTTTCAGTTGAATTAGACTATTTCAACCTTTCAGAAAAGCACTGGGTGACGTCAAGCGCCTTTCTGACAGCTGACCAATCAGAGTAGTAACCTTCGTCCCTTGTTACCGGTGCCCAAAAAGATGTCATGCACCCAAAAATGGCGAACTTCCACCAGCTATGTGTGCATTGCGTGTCCGCTCCGGTCCATTACGGTTCCGTGCATCCTCATCCTTCAACACCCAGCGGCTGCGTTCTCAGTCTGCAGCACAGAGAGCACAGCCGGACAGCTGGAGTACGGAGACAAAGGAGTTTAACAGATTCACTCGCGACAGCTCGAGATAATACGATGTTCGTGGTATAAAACTCAGTGAAAACCTTATAAACACACAAACAAACACACAAAAGGTTTTTCTGAACCGTCAAAACGGAGAGTTTTATTCAGAAAATAAACCGGATGTTTTAATGTTGTATCGGTGTCTGACTTCCTGTCCCGTTTGTTCTTTTCTGTGCTACATTGATACGTTGTGCTCCGGCGCGGTTGCACCGTGTGGCTAGATCCCGTTGTTATGGTTACAGAACACTCGCGCATAAGCGCTCAAAAGGTGGCGAAGGCAACACTTTTTTCTGAAAAAAGAAGTCAAGTGTGAACACGGCCTTAGTCCTCCAGAGTTTGTGAGCCGTGTCCCCGCTTGCAGCTGTGTGCTTTTTGTTAGTGACGTTTTCTTCTACTTAACATCGGTGATCTATCGACTGATAACAGACTGTTGCTATGCGTTTCTGTCCAATCAGCATCAAGTGTATAATATAGCTGTGTAATAATATGCCTGAATTAAACTTCCAATATTTGTGTTTGAGAAGTTTAATTAAGTCATGAGGTTGTAGCTGCAGTCATTTGGGACACAGCTGCTTCTGATTTAGAGTGTCTACATTCACCTCTCTGTCCTATTTTCTTGTAGACGTTGATGACCAAAAAACAGAAGTCCACGATGACAGAGAGACTGGAGGCTCAAACCACTACAAACCCTGTAGCTCCCCAGAAAATTATAATTTGGTAAGATCCTCTTCGTTCTGTTATTAGCACTTTCCCTTTCTCAGATTTTTTACTGACTTTGAGCAGGCAGCGTCTGAGGTTTCAGGGGATCTCTCAGTGTTAGCATTTTTTGTTTTTAGTTGATGGTTCTACAAATTTTGGATCTCAATATGTATTTTTATGATGCATGTATGACTTATTTTGTTCCGTTGTTCTGTCTTGGAGGAATTAGTTAACTGCATTGCAGGGAACAAAATGTTTATAATGTGACATAGATTGCCTTTAGTCCGGGTTGTTGTGTATCCAGTCCCTTGAGTTGACAATCCAGTGCCAAAAAGTTGGACTTGAAATAAAATTTGATATTATAATGTAATTTGGTTTTGACCTTTACGTTGCTCTGAGTGATTTCAATTTGTTTCAACATGATATTGTTTGTTAATTTAAAGGAAACATATTATGCCTAATACACTCCACCAAGTTTTTCATACACCTATATGTGTCCCACCAATCATGAGAAAAGTCCATCCTCTCCGTCTTCTTCCTGCTCCACTTTTCAGAAAATGTGTGCTCAAACAGGCCGTTTGGAGATTTTCCCTTCATGACATCACAAAGGGCAGTAGCCCCTCCCCCAGGTGGGTGACACTCCCACAGCTAGGTGTTTATTCTGCCCTCTGAGTCTGCCTTCTCACCGTAAACAATAGGACATGGAGCGAGAAAGACCCTTCCAGAGAGGGGGCGTGGTCAGACACAGCTCATTTACATACTTAAAGGTACAGACACAGAAACAGCCTGTTCTGAGCAGGGCTGAAATAGAGGGGTTTATAGACATGATCAAATACAGGATCAGAGTGGATTTAGAACAAGAAACTTCACACACATGTTTTGAGGAGCTCTGAGACTTATTTAAACTGAAGAAGAGGAGGAGGAGATGTCACCTTTAAGCTTCAGAAATTGGTTTACCCAAATATGGATAGGCTACATTTTTCTGATGGTTTGATCTTGTCCAGCCGAAGATTTCTGCCTTTTAATAAGGCAGTTTTTTCTTACCACTGTAACTTTTGCTGCTTTGCTAAAGTGCTCATGATGGATAGGCCGGATCTTTGTAATATAGCAATCAGTAAGGTCTTTTACCTGCTTTTTGTAACATATCAATGAGTAAGGTCTTTTACCTGCTTTTTGTAACATATCAATGAGTAAGGTCTTTTACTGCTTTTTTGTAACATATCAATCAGTAAGGTCTTTTACCTGCTTTTTGTAACATAACAATGAGTAAGGTCTTTTACCTGCTTTTTGTAACATAACAATGAGTAAGGTCTTTTACTTGCTTTTTGTAACATAACAATGAGTAAGGTCTTTTACCTGCTTTTTGTAACATAACAATGAGTAAGGTCTTTTACCTGCTTTATGTAACATAACAATGAGTAAGGTCTTTTACCTGCTTTTTGTAACATAACAATGAGTAAGGTCTTTTACCTGCTTTTTGTAACATATCAATGAGTAAGGTCTTTTACCTGCTTTTTGTAACATATCAATGAGTAAGGTCTTTTACCTGCTTTTTGTAACATAACAATGAGTAAGGTCTGTTACCTGCTTTTTGTAAAGTGTCTCGAGATAACACTTGTTATGAGTTGACGCTATACAAATAAAAATTGAGTTGAATTAAATTGAAATTGAATTGTCACAAAAAAAGACATACCTGGGCTTCCCCTGCTTTTTTGGTGTTTTATAATCCTCTTCCTGTACCATTTTTTTGCAAAACAAACTGTTGTATTTTTTAACATCCTCTCCCTCTCTCTCTCTCTCTCTCTGTCTCTCTCTCTCTCTGTCTCTCTCTCTCTCTCTCTCTCTCTCTCTCTCTCTCTCTCTGTTTCTCTCTCACTCTTGCACTCATATTTTTATGTTGACAATCTTTATGTCTCCAACTAAACCACCTTCACCCACACCTGTCTTGCTCACTTAATCTTCCAAATTTGTCCAACCTTCAACTCAACCTGACGACAACTCGCTGAAGCCTGAATGTGCATTTCCTGGCGACAATGCTGTCAACACTGACGGTGATGGAGCGGAGAGGAGTCACAAAGCAAAGAGCTGCGAGGTGGACGAAGAAGAGGGACACCTGGTGTATCACATCGGCCTGGTGATGAAAGAGAGATGTATGTGACTTTAACCTTTTGTCTTTGTTCTGTCTGCATGGTCATGGCTTTGATTTTAAAAATATCTAACAAGCGAACATGAAGGTTATTGTGAACTATTTATCAACACTGATTAAGATTTTTAAAACCTAGTTTGGACCAGGCTTCATTTATTGCAGTTGTACTTTCTTGCATGTGTCTTGAATACGATATTGCTGTGACTCAATGGATGTCTGTCCCATGCAGATGAGGTGGTGTTGACGCTGGGAGCAGGAGCCTTTGGAAAAGTGGTGGAGTGTATCGATAGAGAGAAGTAAGACCTGATGAGTTCAGACACTGCATGCTTTCTTCTTGGCTCCAGTGTAGAAACTCTTTTTATCTCTGTCACATTTCAGAAACGAGCATGTGGCCGTGAAGATCGTGAGGAACATTGAGTGTTTCCGAGAAGTTGCAAAGTCTGAGATCGCAGTGCTGGAAGAGATCAACAGCCTGGACGATGACAACAGATTGTGAGTTTAGTTGCAGCAAACCCACAACATTCATCCAAGAAGATTAGGACATTGAAACCACTTAGCGTTATCTTCCATGTCTGAGCGTAATTCTTCTGAATTAATGATTTTCTTCATTTTGTTTTATTTTGATTCATCTTTATATTCCATACAATATATATCAACATGAAAAGCTATCCATTCGTTTTGTTTTTACTTTTAAGACCTTAACATCATCCATCTCAAAATGCTATGTCATTGCGCTTTCCATCGCTGGTTCACTGCTAGCTTGTTCAATTTGGTGTGCCACGCCCCAGGAAGTGATGTCATACCCACATAAACTTTATTTTTTATCACATACTTCCTTATGATTAGCTCTGTATTGATGTTTAGTTATTTACATGTAAAGATAAACATGATTCATCTTAACTGTCCCACTTGACCCATATTCACCCTATTTAAACGCTCCTGTTTGTGTATCTCCGACTCTCCCCCTGTCAGTGCCTGTGTGAGGATGCTGAACTGGTTCGAGCACGAAGGTCACATCTGCATCGTGTTCGAGCTGCTCGGCCTCAGCACCTTCGAGTTCCTGCGACAGAACGAGTTCCTGCCGTTCAGCGTGGAGCAGATAAGACACATGGCCTTCCAGATCTTCAGAGCCGTCAGCTGTGAGTCAACTGTGTGTTTGTGTGTGTGTTTGTGTGCAAGACAGAAAGAATGCTTATTTCACAAACGTATTAAATATTCATCAAATCTTTTATTGAAATTTGTGTCAAAAGCTTATAATTCAGTCCAAATCTTTATGTGTGGGAATAAACCAGAGCGGCCAGGAGAAAAAAACCCATACTGACACAGTGTGAACATGTAGAGTCCTGACCGATGGAAACCAGTCGGCTTCTTGTCAGTCAGGACTTTATATGTTCATACTGTGACTGCTTGGCCTGTTACAGCCTTTGTGTTGGGGGGAGGTCGTGGGTGGTGGGAGGCGCTGGAGCAGCTCGGGTGGTCACATATGGTCCAGCATCTGCTTCTTCTGATGCTTGTATTGACGGCGATGGCTTGGAGTGAAGGACTTCTTGATCTTCCTCCATGTAGAGACCTCCTCCTGCTCGCACAGTTGTTGCCTCCTTTCATTTGGAAGCACCTCTGCTGTCGGAGTGGAAGACGGCTCAAGGCATTTGCCGGTCTTTCCTTGCAGCTAGTTTTGTAAGCCCTCCAAATCCGGTTCTTTCTGGAGGCTCTCAGCCCTCAACCTTGGTTATCGTCTTGTTTTTGGCGGTCGAGGCAGCGGCTCTTCAAATTCTCCAGCTGCTCTGCTTTAAACACTACAATACTGACAACCTCTTCCTCCATCGCCTCCTGCTCGAGGAACTCTTCCTCTGCTGTCAGCTTCTCAACAAGCGCCTGGTTCTTGTTGGTTGTCTCTAAAAGCTGATTCGTGACTTCCTCCAGCTTTTTCTGGAGGCCGTCAGCTCTCAACACTTTCAGATCGAATTCCCTCTGGAGGTCCTCCACCTTCTTCTGCAGGTTCTGATTGGTCTCCTCATGTGCAGTCAGTTTGGAGGACAGCTCTTGACATCTACTCGTCATTTCCTCCAGCTGATTCTTCAAGGCCAGAGTATCCTTGGCGGTTTTGATGTCGCTGCTCAAGGTTTCTTGCTGCATGTTGTTAATCCTTTGCACCAGGGCTTCTTTTTCAGCTTTGAGTCACTTGAGGCCGTCTCCTGGAGCTTTGTGTTAATCACTGCAATGACACCAACGAGCTCCTCCTTGCTTTTGGTGGAGTAATCCGACATGGTCGTTTGTGTTGCAAAGTCCGAATTCAGGTGCTTCAGTTCTTCTTTCAGCATCCTGTTCTCCTTTTCGCACTCCAGTCTCCCATCATGCTCCAACTTCAACCTTTCCTCCAACTCCTCGATGATGTTCTTGGAAAGCTTGAGCGTGGATCTGGGATCTGTAGAACTCCATTGCTTAGCGGAAACAGGGTCTTAGATGTAGATTTGTTCTTGTTGAATTGTCTTATCGGACAATCCTGAATCTCAACGAATGTGTGGACTGGTGTAGTCTCAGACTGGATCTGTCAACAGGTGTAGTCTCAGACTGGATGTGTAAACAGGTGTAGTCTCAGACTGGATCTGTCAACAGGTGTAGTCTCAGACTGGATGTGTAAACAGGTGTAGTCTCAGACTGGATCTGTCAACAGGTGTAGTCTCAGACTGGATGTGTAAACAGGTGTAGTCTCAGACTGGATTTTCATATTAGGCACGATTGTTTCGTACTGTGCCTAAGCACAATTGTGCCCCCCCCCCTCTCTTCCCTGCTGGATTGTTTTTGTGATTGCTAAGACGCTCTCCCTCCTGCCACAACGACCGTGCAGCTCAGAGGGTGAAACGGGCCCTGTGTAGCGCTGATACAACAGTTTTTTGAAGCGACAGGAGCTGTTTAGAATCACGTCATGTAGCAGGTCCACTTCCTGGTTTGAGCACGGTTCACATCTCCCACAGACCTGCCAGAGAACATCTCTTCAAGGGTACTTGAGCATGTACCCGAGTACGATGTGTTCACACTGATCACATGAACCGGATTCAAGCGTACTCAAATCAGGGTCCGGGTCCTTAGTGTGAAACCAGCCTTACATTTAGTATAACCCTACACTGATCTACAATTCTAAAGGCTGAAATTAAATTAACCAAGTATTATGAAATTAAATGAAATAAAGGCAGTGTTGGGGTTTTTATCAAGTCAACTTTGGTTATATTCTTTAATAATTATACTTAATTATTAATAATATAAATAAAATATCATTAAACTATGTTTAATCTCGTTTTGGGGCACCAACCTGTAATCAGGTAAATATAACCTTAATAGTTAATAGTTATTTAATTACTAATATTATTAATAATGAATAACTATATTTAATAAATTGAAGGCGTGAAATCCGTACACAAAGCCTTCGCACCCAGCTTATATCACAATGTAAATACACCAATAACCACAAACAACTGCTCTCTTGAAACATTATCAAGCAAGGCCTGATGGATGAGGTGTAAATGTGTGTGTGTGCAGATGAGTGTGTATGTAGAGAGAGAGAGAGAGAGAGAGAGAGAACCATGTGGCTTCGTCACATGGTGACAAAAATGGTGGACAACAAAGGAAGCCGTGTGGCTGCCTTTTGAAATAGTTTGAGCTCTCTGAGCTGAGTTCAGTAACTGTTACTTAAACACCAGAAAGCCAGTGGCCGGACTTTGATTCAACGGCGGGTACACTGGTCTTTCTGTTTGAGAAAGCCGTTGACTGAAGGTAAACTAGCATAGCATTAAACACATAGGCGAACTCAGCAGTTCATTACAATAAAACAAATGCAGCAGCTTACAACAGATAATAAACAGAACGTGACGTGTCGTCAACAATGATGCATAATTATCAGTGGGTATAAAAGAAAACATAACTATTTCTGAAACTATTTCTGCCCAGACCAAAGCTCTTACTTGGGGTAACTCCTGGTGATCGTTGCAAAGTTGGTTAGATCGTCACTCTGTTGAATGTTAAATCAACAGATTCAGGCAGGTTTCCTTCGTGGCAGATGTTGGAGGAGGGTAGCGGGATTCAGATCTTCGACCAGAGCGCTGCTCTATAGGGTCTTCTGGTTGTAGGAGCCGAGTTCTTTATGTGTCCTTGTGGATTCAGGGATCAGTGGGCTTCCTTCAGCGCTCCTATCCAGTTGCGTTCAATGACGTCTTACGAAAAATCAAAGGAAAGAAACTCTTCTTTTTGCTGGAACCTGATAGCATCTGATTGCGCCCAAAACTCCTAAAAATATGCCATGGAAGTAGTCAGCTGAATCCTCTGATGCTTGAATTCAGCATGTGAAGAGCTACCTATACTGAGCAACCTCAGCTCTGGAGTTTAACCTATGTAAGTCAAGAGGAGGAAAGGCTTTGTCTCGAATGCTGGAGTCCATCATATGGAGAGGGTATCCTCTGGTGTCAGCAGACCACACTTGAAGAACAGGAAAGGGTTTGTCTCGAATGCTGGAGTCCATCATATGGAGAGGGAATCCTCTGGTGTCAGCAGACCACACTTGAAGAGAAGGAAGCAATGCCTGGCGATTGCTTTTAAAGACTGGAGCTGCCTTTGGGTTTACCTCAGGCCTCCTCCAATGAGGATAGAGAATTCAGACACCCCCCCACTTTTCACACCTATTCGTTGGTTTCTGTTGGGGGGTTGCTGGGCTAAGACCCCTTTGTTCAGTTCCCTCCAAAATACTCTAGTCAGGCTTGAGAACTGTGATACAGGCCTGAGTCTCTTGTCCCATGCACATGGCTGAGGCCCAACAGCACTGAACCCCAAAACTGCTCGGGGACTCCCTTCTTTCATCGGCAGCCCCTTCTCTCTGACATCTTGCCATGAGTGTGTATTACATGGACTTCAGTATCGTGGTTTTGGGTTTTTAAATCTTGCAACACATTTGTGTAGAGAACGGACTTGCACGGTGTTTGACTAATCGTAATAAACCATCAAATATCGAACTTAAAACATACACAAAATATAAAGTTTGTTTTTTGTGTGTTTTTTTTAGTCCTGCATCGCAACCAGCTGACTCACACTGACCTGAAGCCAGAGAATATCCTGTTTGTCTGCTCAGACTACGACCTGGAGTACAACACTGACATGGTAAAACAGAAATCAAGTCATGCAGTGAAGGTGATTGAGCAGTGGAGGTGATTGATTGAGCAGTGGAGGTGATTGATTGAGCAGTGGAGGTGATTGATTGAGCAGTGGAGGTGATTGATTGAGCAGTGAAGGTGATTGATTGAGCAGTGGAGGTGATTGATTGAGCAGTGAAGGTGATTGAGCAGTGAAGGTGATTGATTGAGCAGTGAAGGTGATTGATTGAGCAGCGGAGGTGATTGATTGAGCAGTGAAGGTGATTGAGCAGTGAAGGTGATTGATTGAGCAGTGAAGGTGATTGAGCAGTGAAGGTGATTGATTGAGCAGTGAAGGTGATTGAGCAGTGAAGGTGATTGATTGAGCAGTGGAGGTGATTGAGCAGTGAAGGTGATTGATTGAGCAGTGAAGGTGATTGATTGAGCAGCGGAGGTGATTGATTGAGCAGTGAAGGTGATTGAGCAGTGAAGGTGATTGATTGAGCAGTGAAGGTGATTGAGCAGTGAAGGTGATTGATTGAGCAGTGAAGGTGATTGATTGAGCAGTGAAGGTGATTGATTGAGCAGTGGAGGTGATTGATTGAGCAGCGGAGGTGATTGAGCAGTGAAGGTGATTGATTGAGCAGCGGAGGTGATTGAGCAGTGAAGGTGATTGATTGAGCAGCGGAGGTGATTGAGCAGTGAAGGTGATTGATTGAGCAGTGAAGGTGATTGAGCAGTGAAGGTGATTGATTGAGCAGTGAAGGTGATTGAGCAGTGGAGGTGATTGATTGAGCAGTGAAGGTGATTGAGCAGTGGAGGTGATTGATTGAGCAGCGGAGGTGATTGAGCAGTGAAGGTGATTGATTGAGCAGCGGAGGTGATTGATTGAGCAGCGGAGGTGATTGAGCAGTGAAGGTGATTGATTGAGCAGTGAAGGTGATTGAGCAGTGAAGGTGATTGATTGAGCAGTGAAGGTGATTGAGCAGTGGAGGTGATTGATTGAGCAGCGGAGGTGATTGATTGAGCAGTGAAGGTGATTGAGCAGTGAAGGTGATTGATTGAGCAGTGAAGGTGATTGAGCAGTGGAGGTGATTGATTGAGCAGCGGAGGTGATTGATTGAGCAGTGAAGGTGATTGAGCAGTGAAGGTGATTGATTGAGCAGTGAAGGTGATTGATTGAGCAGTGAAGGTGATTAAGCAGTGAAGGTGATTGATTGAGCAGTGAAGGTGATTGATTGAGCAGTGAAGGTGATTGATTGAGCAGCGGAGGTGATTGATTGAGCAGTGAAGGTGATTGAGCAGTGAAGGTGATTGAGCAGTGAAGGTGATTGATTGAGCAGTGGAGGTGATTGATTGAGCAGTGGAGGTGATTGATTGAGCAGCGGAGGTGATTGATTGAGCAGTGAAGGTGATTGAGCAGTGAAGGTGATTGATTGAGCAGTGAAGGTGATTGATTGAGCAGTGAAAGTGATTGATTGAGCAGTGGAGGTGATTGAGCAGTGAAGGTGATTGATTGAGCAGTGGAGGTGATTGATTGAGCAGTGAAGGTGATTGATTGAGCAGTGGAGGTGATTGATTGAGCAGTGGAGGTGATTGAGCAGTGAAGGTGATTGATTGAGCAGTGGAGGTGATTGATTGAGCAGTGAAGGTGATTGAGCAGTGTGTGTGCTGTTGGACAGCAGTAGGTTTTTGGGGAGCAGATGCTCAGTCCGTGGAGAGACTTGGGCTGGGAACTAAAGGGTCGGCAGTTAAAAGACCCGGTCTGACACGTATTGAAATGGGTCTGGTTGAGAGGTGCAAGCTAATTTCCTGAGCACTGCCGAGGTGCCCTTGAGCAAGGCACTGAACCCCAAAACTTCTCTGGGACTCGCCTCTATCATGTGCGGCCTGCTCACTCTGACATCTCTCCATGAGTACATTTACATGGATTTAAGTATCCTGTTTTAGATTTTTTTCGTGTTTTCTCAGAAACCGGGATAACCTCTAATGCTAATTTTGAGAAACAGATTTTGCTTTCTGGAGAACTCTGAAAGAAAACAGGATACTGTGGCATACATACACCTTATACCCCAGTTTCTGACGGCTGCTGATTCCTGAGCAGGCGTGTCCTCATCCAAACATGGCGGCGTCTTACTTCTGGAGCAACGAAGAAACCCAGTTTTGTCTTTCGGTGATGAAAGAATTAAATATAACAGGAGGTTTAGATGAGAGAAAGCATCATTCAATAAGACACAGTGGTCTCAATTTTCTCAGGTTTCAAAATTCAAGCAGTTTGTGTTGTAAAAACAGTTATCACAGACGGCTTCACAAATATAAGATACATTAGCAGAAATCAGGATACTAGTATTGATCATGTAAACTGGGATTTGAATAACCAGGTTTCTCTGTGTGTATGTAAACACCAGATCCCAAATATGATCAACACCTGGACCAGACTCATAACTGGGATACTCAAACTCTCCATCAGTGCATGTCCACAGGGTCCTGACTGTGCATGTGTGTGTGATACTGGCCTATGTGTGTGTGTAGCACGTTAGAAAACAGTGTCAAATCTAAAAATATCAAATCTTAGTGTGTGTGTGTGTGTGTGTGTGTGTGTGTGTGTGTGTGTGTGTGTGTGTGTGTGTGTGTGTGTGTGTGTGTGTGTGTGTGTGTGTGTGTGTGTGTGTGTGTGTGTGTGTGTGTGTGTGTGTGTGTGTGTGTGTGCGCTTGTGTCTCAGAGGTGTGAGGCGAAGAAGCTGAGGAGTCTGGATGTGAAGGTGGTGGATTTTGGAACCGCCACATTTGACCACCAACACCACGAGTCGCTGGTGTCGACGCGCCACTACCGAGCTCCAGAGGTCATACTGGGTAACATAACTCAACTACATCAGTTTGTTGATATTCTCTCTAATAACCTGAGTTTTAAGTGTTAATCGTGTGTGTTGGTGCACAGATTTGGGCTGGAACCAGTCCTGTGATGTTTGGAGTCTGGGCTGTGTCCTTATGGAGTTTTACCTGGGACGTACTCTCTTTGCGGTAAACACACACACACACACACACACACACACACACACACACACACACACACACACACACACACACACACACACACACACACACACACACACACACACACACACACACACACACACACACTGAAAAAACGCAAACATACACATACACATTAATCTTTCCACCCTAACTTTCTGATTTCTGTTTCAGACCCACAGCAGTGTAGAACATCTGGCCATGATGGAGAAAGTCCTCGGACCGATTCCTCCCCACCTGCTGAAACAGACCGGGTTAGCACTTTATCAATTTAACAACCGTCTTTTCCACACTGTGGCATTTAAATGTCACATATTATCCTCCTTTTCAATTTGATTTGACAACATCTTTAAGCTTTCAAACAAAACTCCTGAAGACGTCCTGAATGTTCAGGGTGAGCTGCATATGCAAACACAAACGGACACATTTTTCACTCCGACTTTATTTTTTCTGCCTGCACCCGAGTACATTTTCCACATGAAGTCGTGGTGAGTTGATATGAGAACACAGCAGGAAATATTCAGGAACATTCAAGCAATTGGGATGGAATGGTGTTGAAATTCTGAATATGATATTCTTGGATTTAAAGGCAAAACTTGTCACAGTGTCGGACTATGTTGCTTCGTCCACCACTTCCGCAGCATTCTTTTATGTTCTGATGTCTGACCCTCCCCTATCCTACAAGGGAAAGCCCGTTGTGAGGTGATCAAGGAACATTCAAGTCAGGTAGATTTTTAGGAGTGCATATGTGAAAATGGCTTATGACGCTCATTGTTACTTCTTTTCTGGTATACATTTTGATGTTGGGTTGTGAGGATGTTTGTGTACTTTCCAAAGATACAGGTGTGACTTGAAATTGAGTTTGGTTTCAAAAGTTTATAGAGATGAAAGAATGATAATTTCCCCTTTAAGTTAGCACACCACAGCCGTTTTCACATATGAACTATAGATCGTTTCAGGAGGACTGCTCTGGAGATTCTCCTGACCTGGCTGTTCACACATGCACCTCACAGCTGGAGACTATCCCTGTCAGACTGAAGGGGGGGCAGGGGGTTTCCTGAGGTAAGACGTGACCAACAACGCGGAAGTAGCGGACAAAGCAACAGAGTCTGCTACATGACATTATAATGAGAATATTTGCCTTTATATCAATGCTATGTGTAATCCAATGGAATGACAACATCAACAAAAGAGTGGAGAAGAACATTCTGGAGAACAGGAAACATAATGCAGCCGTTTAATTACGTGCATGGAGATCGTAGCACTCGCGTCCAGACACTCTATGCACCGAGCAGCAGTCACAGTATAGATACATCACTCTCCCCCTCCTATTGGTTCGAGGTGAATTCTCCTGAGAATATCCTGCTGCATTCTCACATCAGCTCACTCTGACTTGCTGCGTAAAAAAATACTTAGGGTCCAGCAGGAGAAACTCCGGGTGAAGGCGTTCACACATACAGCTCCTGTATGTGAAATATCAGGAGTTTTTCAGGAGATTTCTGCAGGTGTGAAGTCTTACATGTCTCTGTGCATGTTTACCCATGTGCATATGTATTATTGTATTGTTTGTAGAAAGCAACACTACATTCACAATGAGCGTCTGAACTGGGATGAGCAGAGCTCCTCCAATGATTACATCAATAAGCACTGCCAGCCTCTCAAGGTAAGACAGAGCACAGATCAGCCAATCAGCTGCAGCCGTCAGGTAAAGCAGCAGTAACTGTCAGTGTGTCTCTCAGCAGTGTATGTGGAGGAGGAACGAGGACGAGCGGCAGCTGTTCGACCTGCTCGGCTGCATGCTGGAGTACGATGTCTGCAGACGGATCACCCTGGAGGAGGCGCTGTGGCACCCGTTCTTCAGCCCGATGAGGACAAAGCAGAAGCTTCGCAGCTAGCATAGACGCACAAAACACATTCATATCTACCTCGGGCTGTAATCTAAAACATTACTCTAACTGATTGTTTCATTCCTGTCTGTTTAAAAAACAACCTCCCATCATAAACAGTCTGCATGCCAAAGTATTTATGTAATGCTGAGCATTTCTGTGATTTTTTTTGATTTGCTTAAACTCCATGAGAGAAACACACCTGGAAAATGTGGCCCTCATTTCACTTACAATAACATCGTTTTCAAGCTCATTGAACAGAGAGAATGGTTCTGATTGGACCAGAGGCATTCCACGAGTGACAATAACAAGCACTTGTGTATCACTCCGCCTCAGCCAGAGGTTCTGAATACTGTTGAATAACATCACAGCAGACCAGTGTTGTAGTCAAGATCAAAATAACTGAGACCAATACATACCCAAGACCTGAGTGCGCTGAGACCAAGTCAAGACCAAGACCAAGGTAGGGCAAGACAAGACACAGAGACAAGTCCAACACCATATCACAGAAAAATCATAATCTTGTGTGCAGGGGGCTTAGATCCTTGCTTGTGTTGTTCTTACTCTCTGATGGACGTCGCTTGAGATAAAAGCGTCTGAATTGTAGAATTGTAGATGGTAACACCGGGAAGGTTGCGTCCGCGTTGTTGTATCTCAACATCGTTGTAAATGAGGGAAACCTCAATGATTTTTAATGCTTAAGTAAAGGTTCATGATAATGATGTCCTCGGCGGACTGGTGGTGTCTTACTGTTTGCCTATGGACACAGACATAGAGTCTGTTTTCTGACAGGAATTTACAAGATACCAATTCCTTCTGGAAGAAATCTCTGAATCAGTTGAGGGAACGGCCTTATGTGTTAGGGTTAGGGTTAAATATTTCTGTAAATAGAGCAGTGGAAGTGGCCTGTGGTGCTGTGCATTCTGGGAGTTGTTGTCTTTCATCAACATGAGCCAAAAAAACACTTTCTTTTTTTTTCTCGGCCAAGAAGGCTCCAACTTCAAAATGTATTTCACATTTCTACATATTTGACTCAATGTCAATACAGATTCATGTTTCAACGGGTGAAGTGACCCTTTAATGTGGACATCGCTCTCAAGTTAATGTGAGTTATTTAACCCCTCCTAGAAACCTCTGACATCAACGGTCCTGACAGCTCTGTTGAAACAGACGGCTGACACACAGAGTGGGCGACATCTATCAAGATTAAAGCAGCCGAGGAAGTTTCCATGACTGCATATTTATCCAGCTATGAAATATAACAGATGTAATAAAACAAGATAAAATAAAGTGGGTCCTAAAGCAAAGGCACACAGTTTATAATGTCATGTTGACAGTCTGTACCATGATGTTTGAGTGATCTCTGCGCTTCAGTTTCATTGAGCCCAAAAGAGACAGATGGTTGGTTACAGAGACACTTAAAATGCTTGATATTAGTTTGTTGCTTTGCTGGAAAACTGGACACTTCATGAATCCATTTCAGTGTGAATAATTTACGCACACATTTATACAAACATTTTACAAACACAAGAAAGTACATACATTCAAAAGTCCATTCCATATCCTCATACTTCATGACAGTCTCATTAAGTGCTTTCCCTCAATATATGCTTGAAGTTTCTACCTTAGAGGCCCCAGGACAGGTGGAGGGCCCAGGACAGGTGGAGGGCCCAGGACAGGTGGAGGGCCCATTACATTTGCTGCCTTTTCTTGCTCACATCAACAGAAAGGACTTCTAACAATATTGAAAATATAGAAGGAGAGGAAAGTCAAAGTCACTGTATCCATATATCTTAATGGGGATGGATTGTGTTGGCAGTAAGCGTTGGCAATTGATGCAAAATGGTGCTGTCAGTATTTGCTATTCATTCTTACAGTTTCTGTGGTTTCACAGTTTTTTCAACGACTTTTCCGGGCGGATGTAGTTAAACTGTGTGGACCATCTCATTGGTAACGATTGGCTTTAATTGTGAAGGATCAATGATATCAGCACCAGAAACAGCAGCTCCAGTCAGAGCAGGTGGCAGCGGGTTACATCTTTCTGTAACATGTTGTGGTCCTGCTGCGCATGACCTTCCTGTGAAGCAGGAAAACATGGCCGCTAGCTGTAGCCGCACATCCTTTTGGCAGTAGGCGTAAACCAGGGGGTTGATCAGAGAGTTGGACAGTCCTAAGAGCCACAGATAATTCTCCAACACGTCAGTAACTTTGCAGCTTTTACACAGCAGGTGCACGAGGCACGCCACAAAGAACGGGCACCAGAGCAAAAAGAAGCAGCCAACGAGCACCGCGACCGTCCTCAAGGCCTTGACGTGGCCCATTAAGCACATCCACATCTGCTGATGCTGGTGATGACGCTCTTGATGTCGATGGCGATCGTGCTCGGCCGTCCTGGAACCGGCTTTCCGTATCTGTAAGATCTGCTTCTGGTGGGTGCAGGAGATCTTCAGGATGTCCAGGTACATGTAAACGAACCCAGAGAACAGGGGGAAGAAGCAGACGCTGATCAACACCACCATGCCCACCTGGTGAATCACTGAGAAGAAGGCACAGAAGCCGCTGTAGCCGTCAGTCTGCAGCTGCCGCACCATAACTAAAAAAACAGAGGACATGGGTTGTTTATCAGATGAGACTAATACTTGTTCTCTGACACTACCAAGTAAAATTAATCCTGGAAAAGTAACTGATTTTGTAACTTTGGACCAAAGTGTTCTGGGATCCATGAGAGGAACCACCAAACTGGGAGCCATCATACGACAACATCAACAACAACAATATAAGGGTTAATGTAGGAGCAATAATGGGTATTTGTGGATGTGGATCAGTGGTTGAGTCGGTCTTCTTTCAACTGGGAAGGTTAGGGGTTTCATCCCCAACTCCTGCAGCAACATTTCCAATGTGTCATTGGGTAAGACACTTAACCCTGATGTGTATGAATGGGATAAGTTACTTCTAAAGGTCATTTTACATAGCAACCTCTGCCATCAGTGTGTGTTTATGGGTAGGTGTGAAAGTGCTTTGAGTAGTCAGAAGACTAGAAATAGTTGTCACAGTGACATTTTTCAATCATAGTCTATACGGGCCATGGTCAGAGCTGTAATTCTTATTGTCAGGTTTTCATCATATCAATGGACATGCCCATTTAGACTTTACTTCATGCCCATACGTTTTTGTTAATTTTACACAATGTTAAATTTATAAATGATGCTCCCATATAGAGTCAAACAGCCGACACCACAGTGTAAGATTTTGGAGGTGGACACCATACATTGTATAAAACATGGATGTTGCTTGGTGATGTCACCCATGGGTTTCTGCAGTGCAGTTTTGAAGACTATCAATGGGGGTCACCATGTTGGAAATATCCAAAAATACCCAGTAGGTCTTGCAACGGGACTTGCAAAAAGACACCCTCTTGCAGCACTATTTTCTATTGCTTGATGCTATGAATTTGTAAACTTTGAATTAATTTAACACTTTTATAGGTTTTTGTCTCACCTGGCAAAAATCCCAATGTGAAGGCGCTGATCCACAGAGCCAGCAGGAACCCGGCTGCTGTCCCCTTCCCTGACAGCCGGGTGTACCGTAGTGGCATCTTGATGGCTGCGTAACGGTCAAGTGAGATGAGGAACATGGACATGATGGACGCCGTGCAGGGCGACAACAGGAAGGCCATCCGCATCAAACACCTCGACTTCCCCTCAGCGTGGTGCGTGGCGTTTGCTGGAGGATTGGTGACGACGTGGCCCCATTGGTTCTGAGAAAGATTGTTGCCGTTTAAGTCTTCAGTGGCCAAACCCGTGATGGCCACACCCACCAGAGTGTCCGCCAGGGCCAAGTTGAGGACAAAGCACCAGCTCTGGCTGCTCTTCTTCAGGATAAGCTTGAGTAGAGCGGCTGCCACTAACAGGTTTGTAGAGACGATGAAACAAGAAGAGACGCTCAGAATCACACCCATCACCAGAGGCCTCACCTCGCTTCGGGCTGGTGGTTGGTCGGAGTCTGAAGTCATGCTGAGTAAAAGCTTAGTGCTCACCTGTCCACACAAATATGACATGTTGATGACGAAAGCCAAATGATCTCAGTCGAAAACCACCAAATTGTCAGAGCAATTGTGATTGGCACATCGCAACCCTATCCTTCAAGAAGCTCTCTAATGTTACACAAAAGGTTGCCAGTGCAGATAATTTCTGAGATCAAAAATAAAGATTTGCACTGATGCCTACACAAAAACTTAAAATAAAAATAGGTTAAAATAGGTTAGCACTGTGTAAAAAAAAGTCTACTGAAATACAAAACAACAATCAAAGAACTCGCCTCAGTAGCTAAAAATGTTAAATAACCAAGAAACTAGTTCAAAACAATCCTATTACCTCAAGATGAAGAATCTTTTAAGCCCATTTCTTCTGTGTGTTGTTGTTATTCCAGTCCATGTAAAGTTTAATAAACTCCCTCTGTTGCCTTAAACATCCATTCATTCTCTTAGTGTTGTTAAAATCCCTTCAGAAAATGCATAAGGACAGAACAAAAGCAGGTCTGGTTTATCCCCTCCCCTCGGTGCCACACTATCACACTATCACACTATCACTGAGTGTATACACACACACACACACACACACACACACACACACACACACACATCCTTCTGATGCTCGTCCGTTGCTGTTTTTGCCTCTCTGTTGTTGACCCTTGGCCCGACCACCAGCCTGCTGCCGCTTCTTTACAAATTTCTTTATAGCCAGGGAAATGTTTTTGTATTTTTTGAAAGAAGATGTAATGTTTCTAAAACTAAAGCTCGGGGAGGGTTAACATTTTGGACAATCAGATCTTTATTATATGATATATAATAAAATAACATAAACAAATGTAATCAAAGCAAATGGATTGGTTTAATGTTGTTGCTTTTTTTTTTTTACAGAAAACAGTAGAGGAAGAAAAGAAACAAAGCACAGCTGCATGTTACAAAAACCATGTGTAAGCGTAAAACCAGAGATATAGACACAGATCATGGCATTTGAAAAAAAGAGAGAAGAGAAACATGGAGAAGCAGGTCAGTGGTAGAGTCGGTCATCTCTCAACGGGAAGGTCGGGGGTTCAATACCCGGCTCCTGCAGCTACATGGCCGATGTGTCCTTGGGTAAGACACTTAACCCCAAGTTGCTCCCACTGCTTTGTCTGTAAATATGAATGGATGAGTTAATACTGATGGACTCTTTACTCAGCAGCCTCTACCATCAGTGTGTGAATGTGTATGAATGGATGAGTTAATACTGATGGACTCTTTACTCAGCAGCCTCTACCATCAGTGTGTGAATGTGTATGAATGGATGAGTTAATACTGACGGACTCTTTACTCAGCAGCCTCTACCATCAGTGTGTGAATGTGTATGAATGGATGAGTTAATACTGATGGACTCTTTACTCAGCAGCCTCTACCATCAGTGTGTGAATGTGTATGAATGGATGAGTTAATACTGACGGACTCTTTACACAGCAGCCTCTACCATCAGTGTGTGAATGGATGAGTTAATACTGACGGACTCTTTACTCAGCGGCCTCTACCATCAGTGTGTGAATGTGTATGAATGGATGAGTTAATACTGATGGACTCTTTACTCAGCAGCCTCTACCATCAGTGTGTGAATGGATGAGTTAATACTGACGGACTCTTTACTCAGCAGCCTCTACCATCAGTGTGTGAATGTGTATGAATGGATGAGTTAATACTGACGGACTCTTTACTCAGCAGCCTCTACCATCAGTGTGTGAATGGATGAGTTAATACTGACGGACTCTTTACACAGCAGCCTCTACCATCAGTGTGTGAATGGATGAGTTAATACTGACGGACTCTTTACTCAGCGGCCTCTACCATCAGTGTGTGAATGTGTATGAATGGATGAGTTAATACTGATGGACTCTTTACTCAGCAGCCTCTACCATCAGTGTGTGAATGGATGAGTTAATACTGATGGACTCTTTACTCAGCAGCCTCTACCATCAGTGTGTGAATGGATGAGTTAATACTGACGGACTCTTTACACAGCAGCCTCTACCATCAGTGTGTGAATGGATGAGTTAATACTGACGGACTCTTTACTCAGCGGCCTCTACCATCAGTGTGTGAATGTGTATGAATGGATGAGTTAATACTGATGGACTCTTTACTCAGCAGCCTCTACCATCAGTGTGTGAATGGATGAGTTAATACTGACGGACTCTTTACTCAGCGGCCTCTACCATCAGTGTGTGAATGTGTGTGAATGGATGAGTTAATACTGATGGACTCTTTACTCAGCAGCCTCTACCATCAGTGTGTGAATGGATGAGTTAATACTGATGGACTCTTTACTCAGCGGCCTCTACCATCAGCGTGTGAATGTGTGGGGTCCATGTACCATTAGAGGTGACATTGACAAGATGCTTAAAGTTGAACTTCTTTCAACTTTTAGCTGACAAAAATCAGCTGATGCCGAGGTTGTTTCAGCGCTCAGGACTGTGAATGCTGAAACGTTAAACAACATAGGTGTCGTATCTAACACACGGGGGCTGCCAGCGCAAATAAACACAGAGCGCAAAAACAGTTTTTAGCAACAAGGCGATTCAAAGTGCTTCACACAAGACAAAAAAGCAGCATGACTAAGGGAAGAATACATTAAGATAGGAGATTTAAACAAACCATTAACAATCACAGAGAAGATTTGATGTGAAAATATGCACAGAAAGAAATACAAATAAGATCCCCAAGAAACAAAGAAATTAGACATTAAAGGCTTTATATGTGATTTTTTGATCCAGCAGATGTCGCCCTTGAGCTCCAGCATGAAACCAAAACAACTGGCGCTGCATTGTTGTGTTAGCATGCTAATGCTAGCGATCTTTATTATGCTGGTATCTTCACACTGCATGTAAATTTAGCTGAAATGAGCGTGATCTAGAAACACAGTTAAGCAGTGAGTACAGTATGTTATTCTTCTTTTCTCTAGTCCCTCAATTAAACAACTTTTATACACGAGGGGAGGAGTCAGCCGGCCGTCCTGGCGATGTAAACAAAGTGAAGATAGGACTCTGAAAACTCTGAAAACATCACAGACAGTGGGACTCGGGTGTTACACCCATTGTAGACAGTCATGACTCACAGAGTTATTTTCAGAGGAGATACTTGATTTCTACATTTAAGTGAGAAAAATCACATAGAAAGACTTAAAGTAAAAATGTGAGTGAGTCCTCTGGGGAGACATCTGGCCTGATGGGATCATTTTCCACTAAGATTCACACACAAACACATCTGGCTAATGATGCTCTCTGGCTGCACACACTTTAAACATCACCTGGCATCACAGCAGCTTCTCAGACAGGTGAGGCAGAAGACATCGCCTCAAAGACCAGAAGAGAAACTACAGAAACCTGTGACCATTCTTTTGTGTTTAACTGTTTTATGGTCATTCATTCTGTTTAACAATCCATCCCGAGGACTGAGGCTCACAGTTTGCTCCGTCTGTGTCGAGTCTTTCAAGCTGGGCTCAGATATTTGTTGTGTAAGCTCATACACAAAGTACTTACAGTAGTGTTGTAGTACTCAAAATCAGTCAATCTCGAGACTTTTTAGAGGTCTCAGTTTTAGGATTAAAAGCATTTTTGCTCAGCCTTGTCTCAGATTGGACGGACTCCCTGCTCACAAAAATATTTTTTTAAGTGATATTTATGGTCTTAGTCTTGACTCGGTCTGGATCCCTAAATGTCTTGGTTTTGTCTTGGTCTTGCTGTGGCTTGGTCTTGGTCTTGATTCCTAAATATCTTGATCTTTTCTTGATCTTGGAGCACTCTGGTCATGGGTATGTCTCGGTCTCTGTAAGTGTGGTAAGGTGAGTTATATCAATACATCCCGTCCATACCCACGAGACCTTCAACCCCCCTTACTCAATATAATCACACATATACTGTAACCCACTTGTTACCACCTGGCTCAGAGCTGGTAACAAAGATGGAGGCCCCGCCCCTTTAGTGAAGGTCTGTCATTCTCCTGGTGGGGAGTGGTTAGGTGGCGCCCTCTACTGACCAGTCACCATTGTCTGGTACTGAGATCGGCTGACGTGTTAGAACAACATAGCTCGCCTTCACATGTCACAAACAGAAAACTGATGCTGTTTGTCTTAATTCAGTTCTACTGTTCGTCCACTTTGGCGTCACACGGCGTCCCACAGGGCACAACATCACCGACTTCAGTACGAAAGGAAACATCCTCATTTTTATACCTGTTACCCCCGTCCCTCCCGACCAGCCGAAACAGCTCCGACAGACACACAATGCAGGAATGTTATTCACCCCTGCTAGACCTTTCAGGACCTTTCAAAACAAAAGCGTGGGTCAGCAGTAATTGTGCCCATGTGCCCGGCGGTCTCCTGCGTCCTGTTTACATCTCTGCCAACGCCGTCCTCCACCTGCTGTCACGGATTCTTGTTTTCCCATCTTTGCCTGGGATCTGTTTCGAAGGACCCCCTAAGGATCTTCCTTTTTTTTAACACAAAGGTTGGATTTCTCCAGTTTTGGAAGATCCACTTATCCGGGGAAGTATTTTTCTGGACTCGTTTGTTGAGGTACTGATGTCATGTGAGTGATGTGAGGCTAGCTTCTGTTTCCCATTGTTGTTAAACCAATTCGACCTAAAGGGTGATGAGTTGTTTCACAGGTGAAAGGGTTTGTGCCTGTTTAGAAGTTACCTAAGAGATTAAAAATTACTACATTTATCTTTTTTCTCCAGATGGTATTTTTCTGTCCGCACAGAGGACAGATGTCAGCTGGATATAAAACTGATAAATGTTGAGAGATTTGATGTTAGAGATGTTTGTGCTCAAATGTCCATTTTTTAACAAACAGAATGATTGGGGGGACAATTCAAACTGCCCCAGGAAATAAACGGTGTCTCAGTCTGTCGGTGTTTGTTTTGATTGTCCTGTATCTCCTTCCAGAGGGGAGGGGGAGAAGAGACAGTGTCCAGGTGGGTGGAGTCTTTTAAAAAATTGTTTGTGGAAAACCTGCAACTGAAAGACTCAAGGG